CTCGCCCTCGCCAGGGCAAACCGCGCCGTCTCCCGCCGCGCGGTCCAGAGCGCGTCCACGCCCCTCATGCTGGGCGCTGCAGCGGCGGCTCGGACCGGACGCAGCAGCAGCCTCCTGCTGGGGAGCGACAAGCCCCGGCTCGGTCGTAGGTCACCAGGTCGCGGTCCCGCAGGCCCTGTCAGCCTCTGTAGTCATCAGCCAGGAGACAGCAGGTGCGCAGACGCTCAGGGGACGGAGCTCGCAAAAAAAGAAAAAGGCACAAGTCACCAAACAGACACCGACAGGTAAGTAAAATACTAAAAAGTAATTAGCGATGGAACTAAAAAGCAAAAGCAAAGATCCTTCGCACCAAGAGACTTCAGTGAGCATGAAAGAAAGTCCGAGGCATGAAAGGCAACAGAGCTTTAAGATAACGAAGTCTGTAAGGACGGAAAAAGATCAAATCCTTACATCAAACGACAAAAAATCTTTTATTTTTCATCACTGAGGTTTGATGTATTAAAAAAAAAAGTCCTGCCTTTAAATATTAGGCAGCGATCTCCACCACCAAGGGTGGTTTTTAAATAGGACTTTGCTGCTGGTCAAGCGGGCGGGGACCTTCTAGTCCTAATTCTGGCTTGAGGAGCTGGCCAGGGACCATACGACGAACTCACCAGAGAGCCTTCAGGGAGCAGAAGAATGAAAGAAAACTCTAGCTGAATGTGTGAGAGCTAGACTCGACCGGAGCTTCCTGGCCGCCAACGCCAAGATGGAACGTAAGACCCGGCCGCCGTCTCCCGCGCGAGCTCTCGAGGGGTGAATGTGGCGCGGGGGCAAACACCTCGTGCTGCTCACCCAGCACGCGCGGCTATCACAAGTGCATGAGGAGACGGACGTCTAGGGTGAAAGTTTCCCCACGGGGAAAGACGGGCACGAGACCTCAGTGGCACTGTGGAAGTGAGCGCTGAACACAAGTTGAGGAGCGCGTCTGAGTAAGAGGGGTGCCGCGGCGTCGGGGGATGCGAGCGGGCCTCTTGGCGCTGTTCCGGAGACCCCCCGGCCACAGAGGCCGCTTCCTTCTTGTGAGCGGTCTTGCTGGCCAAGCCTTGACCTGAAGGGTGGCGGCAGCCTGTGTGTGCAGGTCTGCGAAGATCACGTCTTGTCAGTACAGCCGAGCGCTCACGCCAGACGTTTCTGTAGCCGCTTTGCAGGGAACCGGCACCCCCACGCCACTGGGGGCCTCACTGCAAACGTCCTCGCTCCAGAGTCCAGCGCACGAGCCACAGCTGGGGGCGGGAGACCGCTGTGGGCCACCCTGAGAGACTGGAGGTCATCGAGGGAGACTTTCGGGGGACAGGGCTACCCAGAGCCCAGAGACCACTCTGGGCTAAAACCACCATTCTCTGCAGGACCAGGAACCCGCTTCAGAACTGTGGTCACGGCCCACGTAACGTGAAATGCTGACTGACCACGCACAAACTGTCAGAGGCCAGTCGCCGCCACGCTCACCCGGCAGGATCGCCAAGACCATATTTCAGGGTCCTGCTCGGTGGCCCGTTTCTGACATACCGGACGGTGGTCGAAACATCCGTCGAAGAACAGAGGCTCACAAAGAAAACGGCCCCTATGAACATGTCTGAATTCCCTGAGGGTGGCCTCTTATTTGCAAGTCTGATCAACTGCTCCCCGGCCAGAGCCAGAGCAGGGTCCTCCCAGTCTCTGGGTGCAGCAGCCTCCTCCCACGCCTGGCTAGAGGGCAGAGGCAGCTCCTGAGGCTTGAACTGGGGCCGCTTGGGGGGCGTCAGCGGCTCAGGGAAGGAGGGCCCCTGCGTTCGTTCTTTCTACCCAAGACCCAGGATAGGTTCTGAGATGAGGCTCCCGTGGAGTGACCAGCCAGCCGAACAGAAAGGCTTCGCTCGGTGGAGGAGTCGGACGGCGAGCAGGGAGCAGCTGCAGCGGGCCTGGCAGGGGTGGGCGGGAGCGCTGACCGGCGCCGGGCCTGCTGCCCGTGTCCGTGGGGACGTGCCGAGCCGCAGACGGGCGCCTCTCGGGCTCCGGGGCCAGGCCGCCGCCTAACAGCCGCTTGAGGACATGTGTGCCCGCAGGAGCAGGCACCCGCGTTGACCTGGGGGCTGGAAACTGGCCGAACCCGCGGCGACAGGCGGTGTCCGCCAGGGCAGCGCGGGGCAGGTTCAGGCTGGCAAACTGGCCGACGGGTTCTCCCCGGGAGACCCCCCAGGGGCACCGCTCTGACCTCAGTTTACACGGACAGGACAGCGAGCCACTGACGTCACACATGAAATTACTGTCGCCGGCAGAGGCTTGGCCTCAGGCCGTGGGACCTGGAGACCCCTGGCTGCAGTTTCTGGGCAGAGGGGGCGGTGCCGGGCTCGTCTCTTCCGTCAGGGCACCTGGGGACGAGGGGCTGGGCCCCTTCACTTACGGCGGAAGGCAGCAGGTGCTCTGAAGAGCCGCCTCACTTCAAGGCCACGCGGGCGACTCGGCGCCCCTCGGCCACAGCTCCACGTCGCGGCATGGAAACGCGAGGTGCCGGACACCGCCTCTTTTTAAATAACATTTTATTTCTCATCGCCAATGATTAACTTCGATGCTACTAAAGAGTATCATGATTACAATGAATAAAAAAATATAGATGACAGAATAAAAATATTAGGTGACACAAAGTTAGTTTTTAAGAATCATTGTCCACCGGCGTCTCGGGGCTCTGAAACAGACAACTCGCTGTGGGTATTTTACATTTCCAGCAGTTAAAGGTTAAGAACATACAGGAGACTCACTCACGGGTGTTTATCACGGTAAGTGGGAAGGTGACAGAGTTACACAGACCCGAGAGCCACCACACAGACACCCGTCCTGTGCACACTGGGCGGCAGCCGGGCGCCTCGTCACAGCCGCCTCGTGCTGCAGCTGTTCTTTCTCCAACATGGGACTTTGTCTTCCTGCGCGGTCACTGTCTTTCCACGGGATCCAGTATTTTCAGTGGTGTTTCCACTCCACAAATCCGTGGCGTGCAGTAGCTGAGACCCTGCCTCGATGCACGAGGGGTGGCCGCCTGAGGGCTGCCCGCCGCCGCCGTGTGGGAGGACCAGCTGACCGCGGTCAGCGGCAGCCGCGGGAGGTGGGCCTGAGGGGCGGCCGGGAGAAGCTGGCGTCGCTCAGAGAAGCTGGACCCCGAGGTCACGGCGTGGCCGCCTGCCCCGGGCTCCGCTGGCACAGGAAGGAAGCGCTGCTGGCAGGGCCGCGGCTCGCTGGCGCACAGACGAGAAGTCCTGTTTCGGTGAACACGCCGTCGGCCCCGAGGTCCCGCGCCCTCCCCACGCGAGGCCGCACGCGTGGCTGGAAAGGAGCTTCTGTTAGGGAAAGCGATTGCACCAACGGTCAGCGTTGCAGGCCCACGAGGTGAACTCCAGACACGGAAAGGACACGGAGGGGCCGGCTCGCTCTCCCAGCGTCGGCCGCGGTCACTGCACGATTCCAGAGTCCACCGAGGTCTGCTTGCGTGTGGTCTTGGGGGGCGGAGGAGGTGGGGTTTTGCTGGGCAGTGGGGGCGGCAGGTGCTAGGAGACACGAACACAGGCGACAGCCCGTTAGTGACACGGCGGGGCGGAACCCAGCGTGTGGGGTGGGTGCTGCCCTCTCCGTGGCTTGGGTGTGGCCGGTCAGCGGCACCCGGGACACACCAGGCCACAGAGCCCCTCTCTGGGGCGCTGGAGAATGGCAGCCCCCCGGCAGTTAGGCCCTGTTCCCTGGCAGCAGCTGCCTTCACAGCCGGCCCGAGCCCTGGCGGAGAGGACGACGGTCCTCCGGCGTCAGTGACAGGCTCGCGGGCCTTCTCCTCCACCGGGCGCGGCGACGCTTGACCCAAGGGTCCCCCCACCGAGCCTGCAGGGGGAGGGGGAGGAGGGCAGCTCCAGGGGCAAGGAGGGAGGGCGCCGCCCTGCCCTGCGGAAGGCACAGCGGGAGCCCAGTCTCCGTGACCTCAGGCCCCGGCCTCACTGTTACTTCACTGGGCCCCGGCACAGGCGGGAAGGGCCCGCCCCCTTCTCTGGAGGGCGCGTCCAGGAGTAATCTTGCGGGGAGGGGCCTGAGCGGGCGTGGGATGCCGTCCACCCCCCGTGGCCCGGGAGCCACAGAAGGCGCGGCCGCGCGGACGTCCAGGGCGGGCGGTGGGTCTCCGAGGGCGCCTCCAGACCTCTGGCGGCAGCCAGGGCGGGCGAGGCAAGGGGCTTTGTGGGCTGGGGCTCGGCCCGCCGCGGCAGGCGGGACACAGGTGGGGAGACCTGTGCCCCCGGCCCCCAGGAGGCGCTCCCCAGGCCGGCAGAGCCCCACGGGAGCACCCCTGCAGGGCGAGGCGGCCACGTCCTTTCACAGGTCAGGCAGCTGCAGGCCGGGGTGCGGCCCGGCAGGGCCCGGCCCCCCCAGCTGGCTCCCGCACCTCTGCAGGCTGCGGGCCGGATGCCGACTGACCCGGCTCCCGTCAAGCCCAGGCCCGCCTGGCACGCGCCCTCCTTGCGGAGGGGGCCACGAACTACTCACCCTCTGGTGAGGCGGCGGCGGCGGGGGGCCGGGCGACCCTGCAGGCTCCGGGTTCCCCATCAGGTTCCCGTAGTCCGCCAGGCCGCCCTTGAGAGGCAGTGGGGGCGGGACCTCGGCGGCGTCCAGCCCGCTCGTGCCGTTCAGCTCCAAGCCTGCAAGACAGGGGGCCGCTGTCTGAACCCCACCCACCGGGTGGGGCGCATGGGCCGCCGGCTGCTCTCCTGGGGCACTGCGAAGGGACAGACGTCGGGGGGTGGGGGGCCCCCTCCCCAGGGCACGCTCTGGAAAGCCAGCGGCAAGCCCCCAACACACCTACGACGGGGCTCGCGCGGGCCCCACCTCTGACAGCAGCCGCGTGGCCCCGGCCCTGGGGCCTCCTGCCACCCACCCTCTGCCCGGTGCGACCAGACAGCGGGCACCCCGAGGACGTGCAGGCCTGCGGGGCACAGTGGGCCCCGCGCCTGGGGAGCCCGGCCACGGACGCTCGGGGTGGCGGCGCAGCCCCCCCCGGGGCCTGCAGGAGAGCCGCGCGGGCGAACTGGCAGAAGTGGGGTTCGCGGGAGCCATGCGTGTGAGGCAAGTCCCACAGCCAGGACCGAGGGGGCTCACACGGCTCACGACGGACACAGCAGAACATGAACAAAATGAGCAGCGCTGATGCTCAGAGCAGGGCTGTGCGGCTGAGGGGTGCAAAGAGGACCGCCCGGAGTGGCACTGAGTGGCCCGGGGGGGCCGCGAGGGGACTCCCGAGCTCCCCCGGGAGCCGCGAGGGGCCCCCGAGTCCCCCTGGGGAGCCGCGAGGGATCCCCGAGTCGCTCCGGGGAGCCGCGAGGACCCACAAGTCAACCGGGGAGCCGCGAGGGACCCCTGAGTCCTCCTGGGAGCCGCGAGGGGCCCCCGAGTCCCCCTGGGGAGCCACGAGGGATCCCCGAGTCGCCCCGGTGAGCTGCGAGGGACCCCCAAGTCACCCGGGGAGCCGCGAGGGACCCCTGAGTTCCCCCAGGAGCCGCGAGGGGCCCCCGAATCCCCCCGGGAGCTGCGAGGGACACCCCGCGATTGCTGCAGCGGTGCGGTGGTGCCTATGTTAGCCCGAAAAGGGGTGAGTGTGACCGCGGTGGACTCTCAGCTCAGGGAGCCCCGGGCTGGCCGCTGAGGCCGCGCCACCCGGCAGAGCCCCCACCCCGTCCCGGCCGCGGCGCCTCCCGGGCAGCTGTGAAGTCCGGTGAGAAGCCACCGACAGGGCCCCGGGCCGAGCGGCCCCCAGACCCGGGCCCGCCCCGAGCCTGTGCGCACGTCCTGGTGTGGAAGCAGCTCCGTGCGCAGACTCAGCCAAGGGGCTGCGATGGCCCCTGACCCGGCCGTCCCAGACCCTCGCGCGCCTGCGGAGCCGGGAGGCCGGAGTGGAGGCCAGCGCAGACGGAGCAGGGGGCCACCAGGAGGCTGAGCCCGCCCGGCCGCTGGACGCTGGGACGTGTCGTGCCAGGCCTGCAGACACCTCACTTCCAGACTCGAGGCCACCGGAGAGAATCCATTTCTGGGGGTTTAAGCTGCCACCCTGAGCTCTGCCGCGGCCTGAGACCCGGGCGCAACTGGAGAAACGTCAGGCCCAGCCCCGCGGACGGCCGGACGGGGCGCTCGCTGGCCCCCTGGGGCGCAGGAGCCCAGGCCCGGGCGCGGCCGCCGGTGACAGGAAAGGGGCGCACGGCCCCAAGGGGGGGAGGTTTTGCTAGCCGGCAGGACCCCCCTTCTCCCAGGGTGCCCAGGACTGCGTGTTGGTCGCTCCCTCAAGCCCCAAGACCAAGCCAGGGGCTCACGGGGCTGCAGGGCAGAAGATGGGCCCCCGAAGAGTCGCGCTGGGGTCCCAGGCGCGGCCGGCGAGCGGCGAGCGGCGCCCACTTACTGGACTGCAAGCTGAAGCTGAGCTTGGCCCTGGGCGTGACGGGAGGGGGCATCTGCTGGGAGGGCGGCGGCGACGGGGACACGGAGAAGCGCCGCTCGGTCCCCGCGGCGCTCATCACCTGGCTCTTCGGCCTCTGGGGCCGCAGGGGGCTGATCTGCACCTCGGCACAGAAGAGCACGGTCAGGGCCTGCCACCGGCGCGCTGCGGCCCGCACTCCTGTCCAGCCCTAACCCCAGCGCGTGGGCACGGCCGGAGCCGGGCCGGGGGGCCGCTGGCTGGGCCGGCCCTGGGAGAGGGGCCGGGGGCCGGGGGCAGGACAGGCACGGGCGCCTCTGACTCCCCACCGTCCTGGCTTCTCCCTGCCGGGCCTCGCCGACAGCTCGGCCTCAGGCCGCCGGCCCAGGGCCCCGCGTCAGCAGCAGCGGCTCCCCTGTGAGCGGGGACTGCCCCGGGGAGGCAGGGGCAGCAGGTCCCGCCTGGAGCTGCGGCTCGATTCCGGCCTGGCCAGTGGGCAGTGCTGACCGGGGCCCGAGGGGTGCAGCATGGGCCCTCAAAGAGGCTGCAAGGTCAAGGCCTGGCTAGAGGTCAGTGGGGAGCCTCAGGCCTCTACACCTCTCCTGGCCTCTGCGCCCCTTTGTGCTGGGGCCTCCTCTCCTTCTTTTCTAAGAAGCTCCCCTCTGCCGCCCAGGACCCCCAGCATTGGGTCACACTGGGGGCGGCAGGTGCATGTGACCCCAGACTCCGGCACTGGCTTGCAGCAACTTGAGCAAAGCCCAACAGACCACTCCACTGCCTGGGGGGCGGGGGGGGGCAGGCCGTGCTGGGACCCTGGGAAATACCGTTTCCGAGAGGATCACGGCCTCGGACTGCTGCAGGGGGCTGTCGGCAGGCCTGAAGTCCTTCTCGAATATCTCCTGGTGCTTGCTGTTCCTTTTTTCCTTCTTCTTGTCCTTCTTCTCCTTGTCGGGGTCGTCCTTGTCCAGCTTGTCCTGGGACCTGGAGTGCATCTTCTTGGGCAGGAGCGGCTCCAGGGCGAAGCTGGGGAGAGGACGCCCTGAGCTTGCCGCCCGCCGGGGGGCAGCCGCCGCGGGTCACGCACAAGTAGCCTAAGCAGGGCTGGGGCCCGCGGCCTGCACAGGGAAGAAACCACTCCAGAGGGAGGTGGTGGAGGCCGAGAGCGAGGGGCCAGGCCGTGCTCGCAGCCTAGTGGGGACAGAGGGCAGAGTGACAAAGGGGCCCAGGGGACGGTGGTCTCGCTGTGCAGGGAGGACCTTCGAGTCTGCTGATTTATGACAAAGCTGGCATCGGGGGTATATTTCATGCCCCCCCTTCCTGTTGTGGGCACTGAGGTTGTTTTCATGCCCTACACATTGTAAACAGCACTGCAGTGAACACAGGAGCACAGACGACCCTTTGAATTTGTGTTTTGCATCCCTTGGATAGAGCCCGAGGACTGGAACTGCTGGATCACGCAGCAGCTATACCCGGAGGAATACTACTCGGTCATGAAAAAGGTGAAACATTGCTATTTGCCTCGACATGGATGGACCTGGAAATGATAGGACTTCGCTACCTACAGGAAAGTAATGTTAGCGCTAACGACAAACACAGGCTTAAGGTAAGAGATGGGAAAGAGTAATCAAAAGGGTGGGCCACCCCTGTGCATGAGAAAGCAGATGGCTGTGCTGTGGGAGACGAGGGCATGGGGCATAGGGGCTGGCATATGGACTCACCCATTTGTATGTCTGACAGTTAGTACAGTTGTCTTTTTAAATACAAGTATACTAAGCTGGTAAGATAAGCTCTTCTAGAAATTCACGTGAAAACTGTGGACAAAACGACATGGTGCTCAAGATGGGCTTCAAAAGAACAGGGGAGAGGCGGCAGCGGGTGGGTGGAAGTCAGACCGCCTCCGCGGGCGCACGGCCTCCTGAGATACCTGCTCCTTCCTCTATATGTGTCTGAAGTTTCTTCACAATAAAAACTTCAAGAAGATTGATGAAAGGAACCAGCGTTGACCCGGGCACTGAGGCGTGCCAGCATGTGGGCGTCTCCCCACCACCACACATCAGCCAGCAGCCCCACCGCCACAGGCCCGGGCACCGCAGCTCTTCTAAGTGACAGTCCAGGTCCTCACGGCTTTCCGGTACCACAGAGCTCGAGACACTGCGCGGTGGGGGCGGGGCGGGTGTTCCAGCTCTGGGCAAGCCCCGCTGCGCAGCCCAGGGGCAGACACACAGCTGGGGAGACAGGCTGTGCCTGGCATTGCTCACGGGAGGCGCCGCGGCGGCGGGCAGAGGGCCCGCGTGACCTGTGCGGCCTGAGACCAGGGCTCTTTCTCTGCATGTTATGTCGCTAAGGGCAGGTACCCCAGGAGTGAAGGAGAATCTGGGCTCTAACAAAGATGCTTCCTGGACCCGCCCTGCTGGTGCAAAGGGTTAAAGCGCAGCACTGTAAAGTGGCTGCAACTGCTTCAGTGCGGGTTTGACCCCCGCCAGGGAGTGACCCCAGGGCGCGGCAGGCCCCTCCCTGCTCCCCGCTGCTCCCCTCAGCAGTGGACTTTGTCCATCTGCCTGTTCTGCTCCCCACTGTCTCTGGTGAGTCCTCTCACCCCCTGCACCTCTGGCCTGTACCCCATCCCTGTATGCATAAATGATAAATAAATCTTAAAAAAAAAAAATACGCCTCCCAGTTCACGGCTGAACACCAGAGACGGGGAGGGGAGCCGCCGTGTGCGCCGGCTGGGCCCGGGCTGGCTGCTGGACGGAGCCTGGGCCGGAAGCTGCCACGGCGCGCCGGCGAGGAAGGCGGGGCCAGGGGGTGGAGGGTGGGGGGTGGGGGGCTGCACCCTCCCTGGCTGTTTTAGAGTTTGATGCAAGTGCCTGGGGGGAGAAGGGTTTTCTTAAACACTCCCAAGGCCCTGCAAGTGTGAGTCTGGGAATCTCCATTTCCAGGAGCTGTGACTGAAAAGCTCCAGGCCCTGAAGGACAAACAGGGGCCCAGGGCTCCGGGCCGGCGCCGCCCCTCCCCCCTGGCCGCGGTGCCCAGCCAGACTCACCCGTCAGAACCCGGCCTGGAAGGGGTGCTGTCGGACGACAGGGACGAGACGGAGGCCACCGACAGAGGCCGGGACGAGGACGGCATGGTGAAGGAGCGGACCATGGAGCGGGGCCGGCTGCCTCGGCGGTCGTCCAGGCCCGAGGGCTGGCGGGGAGGGAACCGCAAGGTTACAGCGCTGTGGTTCCTGCCACCAGCCGCCGGCCCCTGGCAGCCAGCCGAGCGGCCTGTAGGTACGAGGCTGAGGTCCAGCCTGCCCGTGTGAGGGACACAGGGGCTGCCGCTCGCAGCCGACGCGCTCTCCAGGGAGCTGCCTGCGTGGGGGGCACTCCAGGACGGCGGGGGGTGCCCCGACCTCCAGGCCTGCTCACCTCCGCCCGGCTCCTGGCAGCCCCGGGCCTGAACAGGCCCACCCCGGGCTGGTCAGGCTCTGCCGGGGGCCACACACTCCCCTTCTCATGAGCTCCGCAGGCGGGGGCGGGGGGGGCATGGAGTGAGAGCAGACCCACTGGCTTCGGGGACCAAGGGCCCGCTGCCCTGGGAGCGACAGAGACCCACAGTGTGGACGGTGAGGTTCCACACGCCGTGTCACCTTCCCACAACACCCCGTCTCCTCGTCTGGGAGGTGGGGAGGCCCCAGTGTCGCGGGATTCAGCGGAGCACTGACGCTGGTGGGAGCTCGGGCTGCACACAGCTGGCGGCTGCTGAGCGGCGCCGGTGCGCAGGGGAGTGAGTGCGGGTGGGGGGCACAGCCCCAGGCCCGGGCTGCCTCCAGCGGCGCTAAGGAGACAAACCGCAGGACCCCCGAGACCAGGGCCCGGCTTGCAGGGTGAGAACGAGGCGCGGCAGACCCCGCCTGTCTGCCCGCTGCTCCCCCCGGCAGTGCCCTTCCTCGATCTGCCCGTTCTGCTCCCCACCGTCTCTGGGGAAGCCTCTCACCACCCCTGCATCTCTGGCCTGCACCCCAGTTCTGTGTGCACAAAGGACTAAATCTTAAAAAAAAAAAAAAAAAACGAACAGGCCCCACAGCCCTGTCCAGCAGGGACGCCAGTCTGGGGTCGGCGGAGCCCGTGACCCTCTCGGCCCCCAGCTCTGGCCCGGCCCCTCCCGCTGCCCCGCCCAGCATGGCGGGCTCTGTGCCACTCGGGCCATCCCGCCGCTGCCTCCCCACCGTTGGCCATCTCCGACTCGCCCTCGGGCCTGTGCAGGGCTGTTCCGCCCCTGGGCACAACTCCGGTGCCCACGTCTCCCTGCGAGCTGGCGGAGGGGCGGAAGCCCGCCAGACCCTTGCCGCTCGCCCACGCCTGCTTGCCCGCGTCTGCCCTCACCAGGGTGCGCCCTCCCGCCCGCGCCTGCCCTCACCA